GGTGGGTGGGGGGGGGATTTTGGGGAGCTGAAGTCCACCCATCTTAAAGTGCCTAAGGTTGAGAAACACTGGATTGATTTATTGTTCAGAGTATTGCATAAAACCAGAAAACAGATTAATTCATTGACCAGGTTAAGCATCTTCCATGAATGCATCTAACGCTGAAGGAAAGGGGATCATTAACCTTATATCTTCATCCCTGTTTCTTTTTTTGAGGGGGGGTCTCACATTCTCCTTTTCCTCCCAGACAGCACAACTGCAGCTTGCTAAACAAAATGTCCAGGACCAGCCCGGGGTGGAAGCACACACACAGGAGGTGCAAGAATTGAAGCACAAGTGAGTAATCGAAGCTGCGGTGCAAATACAGGCTTTCTGGAAGCAAGGGGTTACCCTTTCACCTCTGTAAGGCATTAGCTACGTTCCCTAGTTAAGCATCACTTGTTGCAGTAAGTTTTGTTTTTTGTTGGTGTGTGTTTGTAAAGTAAGGATGCACAACTTTCTTTGGACTTAAGGCTGGATCACCGTTTAACTGGTGTGTCAGGAGGGACCAAGCTCCAGGCTAGAACAAGGCCAGAGTGTGAGGGATAGAGAAAATTTAATACGACTTTGAATTAATTCCATTATTTAACTGCTCACCCAAGCACGGTTGTAGCCGTTCCCATCCTTTCTTTTTTCAGTGGGTTTCTCCTCTGTCCTAGAATTTGGGACAGATGACTTTTTCCCGCCTCGCTTTAAGGATCTCCACTTGCAGGGGGGGGTGGCAGGAGGTGGTCAAAAAGGTCAAGATGGCAGCTGCAACGGTGTGACCACAACTCCATTGTTTTTTATGTGCATCGCGCACACCATGTGCATAAATAACAAAGCAGAGCTTTGGTCGCGCAATTCCACTGGTTGACGGCCTTTACTACCGGGAAATTCCTCCTCGTGTTTCTGCACTGGATCTGCTTCCATGCAATGTCAGCCCACTGATTCAGGTCCTGCCCTCCGAGGTGACAGAGAACAAACCCAGACCTGCTTCTACATGGTAGCCCTCCAGATATTTGAAGACAGCTGTCATGTCCCCTTTCAACCTTCTTTTTTGCGGGCTGAACATACCCAGATCCTTCACTTGGTTTCTAGGCCCCTCACCATCTTGGTAACCCTCCTCCAGTTTCTGGCTAGCCTTTCTGGACTGTGGTGTCCAGAACTGGACCCCGGACTCAAAATGGGATCTCACCAGGGTAGAGGAGAAGTACCGTAATCTTCTGCGACCTTGACTCTCTGTTCCTGTTTTGTGTGTAAGACTCTGTGTATGTGCACGCGCACGTGCATACATCTGATATTGTGACGAAGCAGCAGGACAAGGCTGGGGGGGGTGGGCTGGGGTGATGGAAATGTATTTATTTAAGCCGTTTATACAGTCGCCCTTCTCCCTGCAGCAACTCCGGTTGGCTCATGAGAAGAAAACAATGGAGCAACAATCCAAACAATTAGAAGTGACAGTCAATATGAGGCTTGCCGAGCTCCAAATAAAATCCTTCGTTTTTACCAATACCGCAAAAGCAATGGGGCTCACCTACCCACTTGGCCCTAACGCTGGAGGAATTTTCCCTCCATGGGTGGTCATTAGGCCACAGAAACATAAGAAGGGGGGTTATAAGTGAGTCATGTGCAACCTCTTAGGCTATGTTTCTCAACCTTGGCCATTCAAAGATGTGTGGACTTCAACTCCCAGAATTCCCCAGCCAGCCATGCTGGCTGGGGAATTCTGGGAGTTGAAGTCCACACATCTTCGAGTGGCCACGGTTGAGAAACTGTCCTTGGGTGTCAATGGTGCACTTCAAGTGTAGGGGATCTGTAACAAGGTGAATATATCAGACCATTGAGGGGCAAAATTCCACTTTGGGGCTGTATTTGGTACAGTATCTTTAACCTGGTTGCTGTACTGTATTAATCCATGTTCTGGGTTCTCCCAACTGGGCATATGGTATTAACCCATACCTTTGGCACAACACCCATCCCTTCCAAATAAGGCAAACCCTACCAAGCTTCGCAAGTTAGCAAGCCAGCTGCTTCAGTTTTCCTTAAGCTGGGCACGCCTGTTGTGTGAACACGGGGGAAGAGCTGTACTAGAAGCAGTTCTGGTTTTAGGAAGAACCGGTAAGCCGAGCAACGTTTCCAAAAAGCAGGAGTCCGATTTATGATACAGTTTGGGTCCATTTTGCGCTAATGCCGTTTTCATTCCCCCTTCCTGTTTTTATTCCCCATTCCCTAAGCCCCCTCCTCCAAACTTTCCAGGAAGAGGAACCGTTCGTGCATCTTGCACCCCTTTTTTCACCCACTGGGGATATTTGGGGGACAGGAAACTGGATCTCATCGCCGGCCTTCCAAAGCATCTGAGCTGAATTTCCCACAATGCTTAGCGAGCATGGCATCGTGGGAAACTCCCTTCTTGCAAAGCAAAGAAGGCCGTGGGGAAGGGACCGCTTACGGCGTCAGGGGACAAAGAGTCCCGATTTTGCCCCCAAAGGGGTCCTTTCCTCTCGCCAATCGGGGGGGGTGTAAACGCAAGCAAATTGGAAGCAAGGGTGTGGGAACATTTTCCCTGCCCTCCCTCTTTCCTTGAATGGAAGAGGCCTCGCTCAGGGTCTTCAAAGGCCACGTTCTACCCGCCAGCCCCCTTTTCTGCAGATTGTTCCATGTTGGCTCTTTGAAGCCTAACCTTTACCCCAAGCCCATCCCGGCACCGGGGTTGCCTCTCTCGCAGCATTTCATAAACAAGCATCGGCTGCGAGGGGCGCGGGTGAGCGCGGCTAATCGGCTCCATATGGCGCTTTATTTATCGTTTCCATCCGGCTCACGCAGGCTAATTCAAACCATCGAAGCAATCAGCGAAATTCTTCAGGATTTCAAGTACGATTCGGAAGAAAGCAGTTGACAAGCCATCCCGCGGGAGAAGGCTGAAGAAAGGCTGGGGGGGGCAGCCGGAGACGCAAGAGCCCCCCCGGCTAAGGCTGGTTCTCGTCTGCCCGCCTCTCGCCCACCCCGGCTTCTTGCGTCGTGCCAGGCCGATGCCCGTGGGCAAGACACCGCAGGAGGTGCTGGGCTCGATGCTGGCTGGCTGCCTGCCCAACAGATCCGGTTCTCAGAAAAGCTTCTTTGCGCTTGGTCTCGACCGCCTTTATGAGATGGGGAAAATGGCTTGTTTATGTTCTGAAATAAAGTGGGTTTTTTTTTTACCCCTTCAATAAAAAAGGCAGACTCCTTTTACTAGTCTCTTTTTTATTATCTTGACCATGCCAGACCTTTTCTTCCTTAGTTAGCCCCAGATGGGCACCCGCTGGGGGAGTTCAAAAAAGTCAAGATGGCAGCCCTGGGTCTGTAGTTGCAAACCCCATTTTTTTGGACACCCCTCCCCCCGCGGGCCTGAATCCAAACCTCCATTGCGAGGAGAGAGAGGTATTAAGAAAGGCATGCACAGACTGGGTTTGTGGGGGGGACGGGAATCACGGGGGCATTTTTAAAACCTACTTGGGTGGTCACCCTACCTATCTGAAGAGGGTATTCCAGTTCCCTCCTCCTCAATTCTGGATTGTAAACCTAAACTCTAATAACTAGCCCCAGATAAGTCCCCAGCACAGGGCTTTCCAGTTTGCTGAACTACAAAGTCCATCATCCACCACCAGGGCCACGTTGGTTGGGAGTGGCAGTATTTCTATCCGACGCTTCTGGAAGGAGTGAAGTTAGGGAGGCTGGTCTATTCTAGATGCTGTAGAAAATAGAGGATAAAATATGAGGAAAGAGGGTCTGCTCTGTCTGTCTTCGCTATGGGAGCCAAATAGAGCCTCCATGGTCAGAGGCATATAACTTTTGAACTGTTGGAAGCAACGAATAATGGGGCTGTGGCCTTTGCTCCCATCCTTTTGCCTTTGTTGGTCACAAGGATGCTGGTTTAGCCTGATTAAAAGGGGAGGCAGTGGAGTCAATTCAAAGGATGGGAGGGGCGTGGGTTTGGCTCCGGGTGCAAAACCTCACAGACTTGCAGAGGAAAAAACTAACACCCTAAATCACAGCTTCAGAAATGACACAGATATTGAGCGTTTGATATTTTTCACAAGGTAGGAAAAAAAAATGTGGAATTTCACAACCCATTTGCCCATTCTCCTCTTCCCAAATGTGGGGGTTAAATGTAAACCTTTTTTTTTTTCCTGATTCCACAGCACGCTTCTTTAGCCATTTCTGCTCTTCAATCAGCTGTTGATTCCAATTTCATTATGGAGGAGTGTAAGATGGAAATGAATTTTCTGAAGCAGCAGAACCCCCCCCCCCC